TGTTTTTAAACTATGAAAATAAAAGATGTCTTAACCAAGTGGTCGGCATAAATTCTATTGGTAAGATGCCTAGCATTATAGCAAATAGCAAAACACTTGAAGCTGCCTGATTATGAGGCCTACACTGGGCATTGTTTCCGGAGAAATTCAGCCACACTCCTTGCTAATGCAGGGGGTGATATATTTAGTTTGAAGCGCCACGGAGGATGGAAATCTTCAACAGTGGCCGAGGGATACATCGAGCATTTTATCAACAATAAAATTCAAATATCAAATAAAATTTTAGAGTCAAATACCGGGATCAAGTACCTCTACATCAAAACTGGATAGTGTCTCAAGTCCCTAAACCCCCATATCTGAAGCAAAATCAGAACTATTTAGTTTGGGATTAAATATTGGTTCGTGTATTGGTTGTACGATTAATGTTAATATTGTAAATAATAACTAGAATATGCATTAGTGTTAAGTTTGATATTTGTTATTTGTTTATTTTTGAATATTTCGAAATAAATAATTACTTATGATTTAGTTCTTCATTTTCTAGAAACCAAAATTCCAAAATCCCATATAATTTACATGCAGTGTACGAAATAGACATTTCGCGCATTACTTCGCGCACCGTGTCATGATAGCACATTGCTAACATTTCGCGAACCTTGTCATTTTTTGACGTTTGTAGAAAAAAGTCATTTTAATGCCTAGGCATAAAAGTGAAGCACTTTTACATCTAGGCATGAAAGTACGAAAATACATTATTAAACTGTCATAAAGTGACAAATTCAACGACCGTAACTATAGTTTCTTGATATATAATTACTTACAAGGTATGGCTTTTAAATCTTTTTATATTATTTGGAACGTTTGAAATTGTTTAAAAAAATATTTGTGGCGTTTGAAAAAAAAAAACGTACAGCCTCACCACATAAAGTGTCATTTTTATTCCTAATAAATCAATATACTATTTTTCAGTTCTTGTCGCATAAAAAATCTGAATAACACTTCTCAAATCCAGTCTTCCTATAATGAACTTAAAGTAATACCAAAAATATATCAAAAGTTAGTTCTAGTTAAAAAGCCACACATATAGACTAAAATATAATCTATGTATAGGTAACAATATTTTTGTCAAGTATTTTCCAAAGTTGATATAAGAATCTATAAGTATATTCCAAAGTACTTTTATATGGTTTTCTATCCTTTGGACAGAATTCATGGTTAGACATACCAGGAACTTATTCAAGCTCACTAAAAAAGATATATCTATAGATTATAAAATGGCCTGAAAACAAGAGTAAAGTAAATTTACATAAACGTGTCATAAAACTAGAATTGAGTCAGTTAAATTTAACAAGAAACCAGAAGAGAGTAGACAGAGTACAAAAATAGTTATTTTTTATACAAGACGATAAAATGGTATTTTATCGTCGAGAAGATTAATTCACGAATGAATTAATTTCGGGAGACGATAATGCAATTTTATCGTCGTGTATAAAACAATATTTTTTTCTATAGGGGAGTTCCGATTTAAAAAAATATTCAGAAATTATTATTTCAAGGAATTTATTACGAGTAGAAAAAATATAGTTCTGGGTTGGCGTTGATTTCTATGCAATTTGAGAAATAAATAAAGCTGTTTCTTTAGTTGTCAGTTTTGAGTCAATATTTTTTAATTCTCTTTCGTGTCGATTGCTGATTGAATTGGAGCCAGAAATTGCTCAAAACGAAATAAGTAAATTGCCAACAGATATTCAGGCTGAGTCGACAAACGCCATATCCAAACTACTTCCATTTAAATCCCGAATAACTTATGAAAAGAAATACAAAAATTTTCAAAAATGGAAGCAATTAAAAAACGTTCGAGAACAAAAAGTTTTTAACCTATCTTCGCTGTTAAAGTATCATTTAATCTACCCTTGCGGTTAAAGTACTATTTATCTAATATTTTTGAAAGATATAAGGCAATTTTAAAAGTTGCTATGGAAAAAAAAATATATATATTATAATTCGATATAAATGAACTTGGGACAACTAATACACAGCTCAGGAACTCTAGCTACTACTAGAAATCAACAGAAAATTTAAGTTAGCATGGAGTACACAGGGAAGAAACTTAATCATATTCAAATATAGAATGCTACTTGATCTAAAGAAGAAAGCATTCGCTACCCTGGTATACTACCAGTCATAACCTATGCATTGTTAAAATATTAATTGTTAGACATAGCTTTCATTCCCATTTTGATGTTTAGATATTAAAATATAAATCCTATAAATAATCTCCTTAAAAATAAACCAACCAAATGGCTTTTTACCAAAGACATATTTCATCTAAATATAAGTCAGCCTCCAACATGTTTAATTTCATATAAAATTTGTGGTTCTTCTGTCTTTTCTATCCGAGTTCCCTTTCCCAAAAACCGATACGTGTAGCTCTAGAGCTTTACATTCTTTTATACAAGCACACATGACAGCAGAGCGGCTGTTTTGCTCTACCTGCTCCTCGCGATAGGGTCAACGAATCCTGGATATTTTCCAACGGAGACACTTTAATATTATGCAACTCCATATACAGCGTGTGTCCTGTCGCATTCGCCAAGTGTGCGATTTAGTTCAACAGCCGCCAAAATATGGTGAATGTATTAAAATATAAATAAGTTTTTATTACTATAATGAAATTTGGTTCATTTTTTAAGATATGTTTTCTATTTTTTCATTTATTTCAGTTTTTAAAACTAAAAATAAGTAAAGGTTTCGAGAAAAATGTGAAAAAAACTAAGAATAACATATTTTATATCTGGTATATTTTAGGTTGGTTTTAATATAAAACTTTTTATACATAATAATATGTTTGATTTTATGTTGCTATAAGTATGTGATAATTACAAATTAATGTAATTATCACATACTTATAGGCCCATAAACATCATTAAAATACTATTTAAATAATAATTTCTAAATTATGTCAGAGAAAACAGTGCAATTATAATTTAAATATACATTAAAATCATTAACTAAACATTTATAATAATTATGTGTTTTGATTTATTATCTTAATTATTTTTTCAACCAGTTCTTTTGTATTAATCATTTTTTTTATATATTTTTTTATAATTAATAGGTTTTATGTACTGTTACATAATTATCAATGATGTTGTGTTTAAGATAATCGATAAAATATTTGAATATGTAACTAATATCAATTGATATTGGTAATAATTTACTCAATTGCAATTTAGTTAATGTTTTATAGAATTGATTGATCTGGCCTTCTATATCTATACCCTAGAAGCAAACTATGTTCAAAATTGGCATATTTGAGATATATACGTCTAGTTACTTAACTTAAAATAGTAAATTGGTTCCAAATTGCAACATATATTCTTGTTTTACAGTTTCCTGTTAAATGTTTTTTTTTTATTATATTAGTAATATATTTTTATTTGGACTTAAAATGGTTTAGCTTTATTTATTTTGGCATAATATACTGACTTAATATAAGTTAAGTTCTGTAAAGTTTTTTTTTCTAATATAAAAATTATGTATAGTCACTCAAAAAAAAATAAAATAATTTATTTAAAAAATTGTTTCATATTTTATTCAAGTTCAAAATACGTTGCTCATATACCAAATATTATAATGATAGGTTTAAAAATAAACGAGTAATTAGGAAATAACTTCAAAAAAGCTTCAAACTTTAAATTCGTTTTTCTCAAAACTATGTTTTATGAAATAATATAGTTTGCTTCTAGGGTACAATAATTACATTTCACTTATAGATAAAGATTCGTATTAAAAAAATAATTAATAAAAAATGTTACTGTGTACATAGTGTTAGTAATAGTTTAGTATTAAACAAAAGAGTCAGTGTAGTATTATTTTTAATCTGTATAAGTTCCTAATTTTCAAAATTATAAATTATTTTATTTGATTTTAATTTTGAAATTGTTTGCTCATTGTAAATTCATGTATGTATTAGCGTTTAGAACCGTCTACAGTTTTATGAAGTTTTTAATTTTTGTATAATCCAATGCTCATTTTACTAATCACAATTAGTAATGTATTTTCTATATATTTATGATTTAAATACTTATTGTTAAACTACAAAATATAATTTAAAAGAAATTGTATATTGTATTTTCAACTGTTGGCCTATTCTGAACAGTCTTTCTATGAAATATTAATAGCAGCATTATAGTGAAATTAATATTGCAAGGCCCCATAATAAGTACAGAAATGTTGAGAAAAAAATTCACATAATTCAGTAAAATACTTCTTAATTTCTTTATTCAATTTCAGCTTTTTCAAAGAATTTTTAGTTCAAACAGGGTCATATAATCATAAAAAAGAAACATCACGACAATTCTGTTTTAAAATTTGTACAACTTCTTAAAAAGACGTGAAAATAAATTTATATTAAATCAAAACTAAAGTCTTATAAAAATAATTCTTACCCCCGAAACTTAAATAATTTTCAGCAAATTAAAAACTTTTCTTTTTTACTTAGTAAACGAATAATTTTACAGCTCCTGTCTTCAAATTTTAAGATTTTATTATATTGGTGAAAGCATTCTTGCCCGGCGCCTTCACCAAAATCCAATCCCAGTTAAAATAACCGTTCTATCCTTTTTCTTACACCAAAAACAAATAAAATTCGAAGACGTAAAGCTATAAAAAATCTACCCTTTTAAACGCAACCATAAACTTTGACCTAATAATTTTTTTGTAAAGGCCCTTATATTTTATTGCCAAGAGAAACCCAAAAGAGCTAGACAAAATCTTTATTTTTATCTCTTAAAATTTTTATTGTTATATATGTTTTAATTTTTACATTTAGATAATTATATAATTTTTTGAGAATTTTTTTTAAAGAATTGTGAATCATGTACAGAAAAATTATAACCTAAAATTAAAGATTTTTTGAATTTTATCAAACACTTTTATTTAAATACATTAAAAAATAATTACAATACACCACAAACTAACTTAAGCATGTAATTACTAACAAACAATTATTCTTACTAGTTCTTAAGGTACCTACAGCTAAGAAGATTGAATTGAAGGTGAGACGACTCGTAGAAATGTGGCCTCCTGTTACGTATACTGAAGGTATACCGGACAGAAAAAACACTCAGGATACATTCAGTATACGTACAGGGGGTTGCATTCAATCTTCACCCCAACGAACGTGGCTAGGAAACTCAACACAGACCTCCTTCCTCTTCAGGCACCTATAAACAGAAAACACAGTACAAATCAGGAGAAATTAATAAATAAGAAAGTGAAATAAGAAGGAAAATAGTCTCTGGGGTATACCGGGTTATTTCTCAGGATAAATTCAATTTATTTGACTGTCTGTAGGGTTTGGGATAGCTATAAATATTTTGTGGGAGTCTGAGAGGGTGCATGCTTATAGTTTGTGTTTGTTTACTTACTGACAGAGTCACCGCGAGCCCGGACACACTGGAGGACTGATGAGTTTGGCGTCTGGAGAAGCAGTGTGAGCTTCAGCCAGGCGTCCCGACGGTCTCTCCTCTGCTTACAACCGACGCCGACGCAGTCATGACGCCGGTGGGCAGGATCTGGCGGGGCAGGGTGTGGTTGTTCCCCGGATCATCTTTATATGCATACCCCGGCGTGATTATTCCATCTTTCCGTCTCACTCTCTCGTTGAGTTAGACTGTGCGAGTGCAACCGGCGTTCGGATAGACACGGCGTCGTTTCGGGCATGTTCTGAACTACGCCGCGCGTCGACGACGTAGTTTCCTGCACTGCTGCCAGGGGTCGCAGGAGGGGGAAGGAAGGGGGCGTGGTCCGGTTCGTGCGTCAGACGGAGACGGTCGACGAGTGAGACGGCACAGAGGCATCGGCGTCGATACCATTAAACCTATAAAAAGAGGAAATTTATTAAACTATTTTCGAAGGGGGCGGTAGTAGATTGGAAAACTAATGCTATTAAGATAGAGGGCATGGGGTACGAAGGGCCAGGGAGAGATCGAAGCCCTTTTTGCCGCTATGGGGTGGAGAAAAATTCGAAATATGCCATATGGGTGGTATTGAACGGAATAGTTTTTGGCAAAAATTTAAAATGTGATTTTTTGGTGGAAAATGTTTGATCTGTCAAAAATATAGGTACCTTTCATGTCATAGACCGATAGAACTACTACAGTAGAGCCTAACAGATGTTTTTTCAATAATTATTGTAAAAAAATCAATACAAATTAATTATTTTTTGAAAAAAGAGTTGTGTCTGGAATCTTTTTATTTTCACTGTATTTTTTTTTATCATACCGTAGGTATTTCTTGATCATAGGTTCGTTAGATAGATAACATAGATAATAGTTTTATATTTATTGGTAATAATTATTTAAGATCAAACAGCTATCAATACATTGTAGACAAATTTATAATGAGAGATATATAAATAAAAAATATTGTATTTTCTTTGTAACTTCATTTACATAGTTTAATTATTACATTTGGGGTTACAACAGCAAAATAAAACTCTAATTCAACACAATACACCCAAAACACTTTTATTAGGAAACTTATATACACCAAAACACTTTAATTATAAAGTGTTACTGTGTATTGTGGTGAATTAGTGTTTTATTTTGCTAGCTTTATTTAGTATAATTTTTCTTGCTAAATATTTGTAGTACTTTTATATATTATGATTGTTGTAGTTAGTGAAATATGTAGTCATTACGTTAGTGATATGCGTTAGTTATTTTCTATTAAGATTATTTTGGCTTGTAATATTAACTAATTGTTATCAGTTTAATTTTTATTATATTTTCTGTGGTGTATTATTTAAGTATTCTTTAATTTTATTTTATTTTAACGTCAAATGTGTATTATTATTCTATAGAATGTACTTTTGTATATTCTATAGAATTAAGATATCATTTACAAAAAAAAATATGAGAAAATATCTGTAAAAATATTTAGAAGCTTTACAATAATAATATAGTAGATTAAAAATAATATTTAACCAAAACATTTCAGTTTTTTAATTTATTGACTAATTTTTTATATCTAGAACTATAATATGAAAGAAAATATCTGTTAATTTAACAATACATTCATATTTTTCTATAATTTTGTCTTATTTATGGTTTTTTGTTTTGGTTCAAAGTTCATACTAAACTTGAAACTGTGCTGATTAAAATTTATTTCCAATTATATTATAAAACAAATCCATGTTGACATTTTTTATATTTTTATGAGACATTTTTGTTTAAAGGCTTTATGTTATTTTAGAAAAGAATTATATTTAAACTAGATACTAGAAAACTAAATTTATCGTAGCCTAAAATTATTGTTCTCGAAAAATAAATTTACGTGCAACAGTAAATTAAGTTGGCCATTAGTTAGTTTTCTAAATAACCCCCTCTCTGTATGTTTGTTGTATACTATGTTATTCTAAATATCAAATATGATATGTGATATGATTAAAAGGACATGTTTGAAAAAGTGAAATATAATGCTGTTTTAACCAACAATTTGTGTGCTCTGTTTTTGTTTACATTTTTATTCATTATTTATAGTAGTTCACAGTCATTTTGTTAAATTATACAAATATTCTTGTGGATTATTGGTTTGAAATCAATATGACTATGTCCTCCAATGAAAATGCGAGTTGCTTAACTCTAATAATTGTAATTCTAAGCTAGCAAATGAGCTACATCCTTCACCTAGACCGTTATTCAGAAGCTATAAACCTATCGATGAAAATATGCATGAAAATTTACTGCCCAGCACACAACCAGAGGATATTGGTACACGGGTACAGTATCAAGTTGATTATAATGATTTTCTTAGCTTTAAATATTTTTTTTGGTGTTTAATCGATCGTGCGAATCCTTACCACGTCTCATCTCGCTAGCTCGTGTATCACGACCTAGAATTTTTACTCCTAACGCGCGTAAAGTAGTAAGTTTCACTTCAAAAAAATATTAAAAATACTCATGGAAGGAACATCAATTGGCTGAAGGTATTTTTAGTACGTCTCTAACAACCATAATTTTATTTCTAGTATTTCTCTTGGTATATAGAAACCCGATTGGGTTAAGTACGCTTGTAAACATGCCGGATAATAATAGACCCGAGAGAGAAGGTATACTGTTTCTCAATGCGTCGTCGGCTGCAGTAAAATACGCTAACTGTTCGTAATACACGGCTTTGTACTTACAATGTCGCTATTCGAAAGGGAATTGCGAATTTACCGTCGATGGAACTCATATCGATCTAAAATTTATTCGGTTTTCTTAGAAAAATAAAGATAAACTCAAATATTAATTAAAAATAATTTAATTTAAATGTATAGAATGTTTAGTCATCGTTCAACGTCACGTCATATGTTATCGAACTCTCTCAATCACTTGTCAACCGGATGAAAGAGATTGGTGACGTTATTACGGCATTTCGAAAATTACTGCATGTTCTTTTTAGTAATTGTTATTGTCATTTGATTTGGGGTTATAATTTTATTGACGGAAATAGAGAGGCAACAAAGCAATGAGATTTTTGAATGTCCGGAGTGCGGTAGGCAGATAACATCACGTATCGGGCTTTTCAGTCACAGAAAAGCTCATGAAAGAAAACGCCTTGCGTGACCATTTTCTTTATGTGTGTCGAATACTCGTCAGCGAGTAACGGCTGTATGTATGTATATGTATGGTAGAATACTCTTCCCCTCTCAATCTTCCTCTCAATCAATAATATAGAAACGTACTTAAAATAAAAACACTATGAACTGATCTTAGACACACCCGAAAACTCATATTTGACAAATAATGATGTTTTTTTAAGAGTTTTTATATTTAACGAGATTAGAAAAATAACACGTACCTAATAACAAAAAAAATAAGAAAAGGTTCATCATAACTTCACAAATTATGATCATAATTTAAAAAAAATAGAACTTAATTTTAAAAGTTTAAACATAAAAAATCAAACTAAGTAAAAAACAGGATTATAACAGTCATGCCAAATTTTATAATATTCATCAGTGGGGTGTACACTAAATAATATTCAAGACATTATAAAAACTTTCTTCCATAGCAACTGTTAAAATTGCCTTATATCTTTCAAAATTAGTAGATAAAATAGTACTTTAACCGCAAGGGTAGATTAAATGATACTTTAACAGCGAGGATAGGTTAAAAACTTTATTTCTTCTCGCAGGTTTTTTTAATTGCTTCCATATTCGAAAATTTTTGTATTCCTTTTCATAAGTTATTCGGGATTTAAATGAAAGTAGTTTGGATATGGCGTTTGTCGCCTCAGCCTGAATATCTATTGGTAATTTACTTATTTCGTTTTGAGCCATTTCTGGCTCCAATTCAATCAGCAATCGACACGAAAGAGAATCAAAAAATATTGACTCAAAACTGACAACTAAAGAGACAGCTTTATTTATTTGTCAAATTACATAGAAAAGAACGCCAACCCAGCAAAATATTTTTTCTACTCGTAATGAATTCCTTGAAATAATAATTTCTGAATTTTTTTTTAAACGAAACTCGCTATGAGCTGCCGAGAAAAAAATATTGTTTTATACACGACGATAAAATTGCATTATCGTCTTGTGTATAAAATAACTATTAATATATAGTTATATTTATTAAATAATAATTAACCTATTTTATAAAATTGTATCTATCCATTTTTTGGTACTAATTTGTACCCTGGTACATTAAATTTAGGTTATTTTAGTCTTATCTATAGACTATAGATATTTAGATGATCACTGAATAATAAGTTAAATTAATCAAAGTCGTACTTTTAATTCAAAATAAATATTCACAATTACGGAATATAATCCCAATAAAATGCATATTTTTAACGTCTTTATTTTGACAGCTGAAGTAAATTTTACTTTCTCACTAACTGTATTAAGTATCTTGTACTGAAAACGAATTAAACATAATTTCCACATTTCATGCAGTTGGAATGCTAATAAAGTGAAAGCTGTCTGCGCGCTGTCATTTGCATTTATGCTGTTTCAATTGCATTACTTATCTATGCTAATAGAAATTAGTTTTTGTATGGAAAAATAACGATTTCCTCCGGTAATTTTTCAATATAATATATTAGTTTCATTAACATAAAGAAAGAAAAAAAACTGCACTGATATAAAAGATAGACTTGAACCAAGGATATATAGAATAAGGATATTCGACTGGCCCAAAAAAAACGTGCCGTATTTTGTCGAGGAAGTTGATTTCATCACGACCAATGGGCGTCGAGTATTTGAAATTGAAAACATATAAATTGACGGTAACCTATGTTTTTTGACTCATTTCACTGACAGATGTGAAGAGATTATTTTATAGATCCAAACGTTTTTTGAATAATTTATTTTAAAGTTATTTCCTAGAGGTTTGGTTTGGCCTTCTATATTCTGGTATTTGTCTACTAATAAATAATATCTTATTTTGTATTTCGATGTATGGAAATCCGCAAGTTTTGTATCTGAAGCCGCAAAGAAATTTCGCTCTATAGTGAGAAAAATGTTATATCTTTTTAGACGCGTAGAATTACAAAATTTCTTATTTCAGATGTTCTAAATGTGAGTGCTTAATGTCAAAAATTAAAATGTTGAAGATTGATACTTGAAATATTGGTCTTATTTCAAGTTATACCCTTTGCCCTTTGGAAGTAAACAAATATTGGAGAAAGTGTTGTGCCTTCACAGAATATAAATTGGCATTAGGGATATATTTCCTTGATTTAGTAATGAAATTCATCATAGAAATTGATAATATACTATTTTATATTCACTCGTTCAAGTGCTGATCTATTTTTAAATTGAATATCTATGTATAAGTATTATGTATAACAAGATATAAATAATTTAAGGACATAAGAAATTAAAATTTC